TAATTTGCATTACAACGTAAGGTGGGAAGAGAAGCTAGCTGCTTGAGCTGCTGCTGCCCCTCCCTTGCGCTCTTGCTCTTTGCCACCACCATGAAAGGTTGCCCTCTGCTATGTGCTGCTCTGCGATGGACCCAGCTGAGTATGGACTGAAATCTCCAGTAACTATGAGCTAAATAAACCTTTCCTTCCTTCATTGTGAGTGTCGGGTATTTGTCCCAGCAACGAGAGAAGAGTAACTAAGACAGTATTATATCATTCACCTTTCAAAAACCCCAAAGCATGACATCCTGCCTCAGTTTCCCAGAGTGCTGTGATTACAGGTGTGTACTCCACACATCTGGCTACATTTCTTGTTTTAGGATTTGGAAAATAATAGTCCTGTGCTCTGAGCAAGGGATGTGTGTCCGGGCCAGGCCAGTGCCAGGTGTGCTGCAGCTCAGACTCACCTGACAGATAGGGCTTACATACTCTGGGGCCTGAAGGGACACAGGGACCAGCACACAATTGGTGTATCTGTCAAGATGTATCCTCAAGAACTTCCCAACTATTTAAATAACCTACTAAAATCACTTGAAATTAAGTCATTAAATCTACCATGTTTCACCAATCAATCACATTAGATCATTTTGTTTTTATGTAGCTTCATACTCAGAATCGTGCCAAAGGCAGCAAATCCTTCCCAAGATTTCCCAAATTATTACCTATAAAAATCAGAGCAGTAACGCTCTCCAAGGGCAGGTGCTGGCTCAGGCTGGTTACTAATTCAGTTTGTGAACTGTACACAATGACCCTGGTAGCTTAAAGTTTTCCTTTCCTTGGTGGAGGCAAGAAAATATTAGAAAAACAGACGAATTCCAGAAATTAGGGAGGACCAGTGAGCATACTTACATAAGGGGAGGGGGAGAGGTTCTAAGTCTGAACCTTTGTGGTGACATTGTATCATTCCTTAAAGAGGCAAAAGGTATGAGTGCTATACTTGAAATGGGTTAATTTCATGCTATGCAAATATACCTCAGTGGAGGTATTAACCAAAATTCCTCAAATAAACAAACAAGATGTCAACATTTGCTCATGGTTCTGAGAGCTAGGTACACACCCGACAAAGTAAGAATGCCTCCAGCTCCTCACACGTTTGGTGACACATTCTAGGTGGTGACCAAACCTCTGATGCACTGTGGGATTGAGTGGGGGCTTACAAGAAACCTTCACTCAGAGCCATGCATGCCCATGTCTAGTGTGGACAGGGCAGAGGGATTCTTCAGATTGCTGGGGTTTCTAGCAGCATAGGGCATGACATGGTACTTGTGGGTTGCCCATGGCTGTGGAGCAGACTTCTGTGTTGAGCGCATTTGGGGTTCCGAGACAGAGAAGTTGGACTTCAGGGCACTCTGCCGTTGATGGCTCAGGGATTTCTGCTCTTAGCAGGGGGGTGTAGGGCATGCGGGAAGGGGCATCATGCTGGATGCAGAGTGCTATCTTGTTCATTGTTTCCATGCAGACAGGGCCCTTATTAAAAGGCCAGGACTAATCTTTCCTATCTCTCTCTCTCTCTCTGTTCTGTTTTTAATTACAGATAACTGAGAAGACTGAAGACAAAACACAAGCAGCCTTGAGCTTAATGATTCAGCACAGCTCTACACGAGAGCTCAAATCATTTCTAGGGTGTGCACTGTCTGGGTGTCATGGAAGGGGGCTCAGTGCAGAGGCATGTAACTGAGATGTGGCTCAACCAGCAGGAGCCCTGGGGTTCACCCCACTCCAATCCCACAGGCAGCAAAGAGAGATTCTGAGGCACTGAGTCCCTAAACTAGGGTCTGTCCTTGAAAATCCCAGCGGTCACATCTGATTTGAAGCAGGAAGGCACTGTTCAGCCTGAGACCCCAGTGCTAAAATCCAGAGGTGGAAATTTCTGAGGGGTCTCCAGGGAGACAAACCAGCTATCTCAACACCACATCCTGATTCAGTTTCCCTGGTTAAGAACACATCCCCTGACAGAGCCATGTCCCTGCAATGTGCGACAGAAAGAACAGCCTGCAAACCTGTTTGGTGCCGTGCCTCAGGTGGAGGGCACTGTGAGCTCCGTATTTAGAAAGGAGCTACATTAGGCTCAAGTGGCACCAATCTGGAAGGACAGGTGTCTCCTGGCCCAGCCGGTGCTCCCAGTGCAGAGGGGAGGCCAGTTTCTCCGGAATCCCTGCTCTTGTAATGATTGCTTCTTTCACCAGATGCCCTGATGGTGCTGTCATTTGGGTCTGGTCTTAGGCAGGGGTCTGAGGATCCCCCACCACAGCACCTGTCCCATCTGACAGCTGGCATGCTAAGGCTCACAGTCACTCCTCCAGTTGCTCCACATGCAAGAGCTCCAGGCCACACCAGGAAGGAGGAACTATAGGCAAAACATGCGGAAACTTCCTCCTTTGCTCCGGTCTGAGAAGGTCCCTTTGCTTTCTGTTTAGAGTACCTCTGTTTATCTCACGGCAGAAATTCTGACCACCTATTCATCAGCCAGACCATGCTGGACAACCCTAGCACACACGTCCCAATGTGACCTCCCTCTCCGAGGGAGTTCATCATCTGATTTTTGTCCCATTTTCTCCACCTGCTGGTTTTTACACTGATAGAATGATCTGCGCTTTTACAATGGAATTACCCCCCCCCCCCCCCTCCACCAGCAGCACCACCATCACCACCGACGCAGCAGCCATGCCTCCCCCAAGCCAGCACGACGGAACAGTGGAGGAAGGAAAGGCCTGGAAAAATCACTGGCCATAGTAAGCTGTGTCAGGGTGTGGGGTGAGGTGCTCCCAAAAGGGGCAGGGGCTGTGTTCTTACCCCAAGTCTTGGAGCAGCTCGGTGTCCCCATCTGGTTGGCTCCACAGGTCCGAGGGTACCCGGGCATTCATGTTTGCTCCCAGAGGCTCTGCTCTGCCCATCCGCCTGTGCGCTTTGCTCCAGGCCAGGTGCAGTGGAAGGAGAGGGCCGGCTTAGCTGTTCTCACTCTTCCATCTGGCTGGGAGTCCCCAGCCAGCAAGGAAGTGAAACCTGGACTCCTCCCACAACCTCCCACCCTGGCCTTCAGCCAGGAAATGTGCACACTGGGACCGCCCACTCTGCTCACAACGGGCACTTGCTGTCAGAAAATGCAGAGTGCTACTGCCTGGATCTGGACTCTGCCCTGATGCGGCCCGAGAGGCAACCTCTCGTGTGGGGGGTGTGCACCTTTGGAAGCCTCCTGTGTCTCATCACAAACACAGGAACAAGGAGGAGCTTCCACACCCAGAGCACCTCAGGGTGAAGAAATTGGGCCCAAGCCCCAGCTCGAGCTCCGCAGTTTGCTTTCCAGCCCTGTCTCCGGGCTCTAAATTGCCGTGGGAGCTTCCCAACACAACGGAGGCTCAGGCTGAGTCAATGCTGTCCTCCCAGAGGAAGGGCTGGGGAAGAGCACAGCTGGTGTCCTGGGCCTACGTGATGGAGCTCCACCCCCTGGCTCCCGCTCTGTGTCCCAGTCCTCTATGGAGGGGCGACCCACCTGCCTCACCGTCCTTCAGAGGGCTGAGACTTGGAGCGTGGGAGTGGAACCCAGTGCAACAGGGGTGAGGAAGAGCTTGCTGAGAGGTGCGCCCACCTTCTCCCCAGCCTGACAGACCAAAGATCCCCAGGGTGACCTGAGAGGGCTTCTTGACTAGTGCAGTTGAGGCGCGGCAGTCCTGGTCCAGAGCTCCTCACGGTGGACAGGACTGTGCTGTAGGAGCCTACCACTCAAGGCTGGCCCTGGGCACTCAGTCCGCGCCAGTCAGTCCCCTGGTCCTTCCCTCAGCTCCGGCCCTGGCCCAGTAGGAGGGGGAGCTGGGGGAGCGGAGTGTGCACCTAGGGGTAGCAGGACCCGGGAAGAGGCTGGGCAGGCTGGAGTGTGAGGCGAGACCGCACAGCCTGTCCACCAATTTCCTGTTCCTGCTTGGCGGCGGCCCTTTGTTCAGGGCTTCAGTCTCTCGTTTGTTCCCGTTTTAGCATATTCTCTCTCTCTCTCTCTCTCTCTCTCTCTCTCTCTCTCTCTCTCTCTCTCTCCTTC